GTAAAATTTTACAGTTCCTCTATTTGAGCTTTTCAGAAGGACTCTCATACGTGATTGACTTGCACAGATTTAGAGGGTAGTAAGCTTTTTTTTCCAGTGCGCCCAACTCGTAATGTGAATGGCCAGAGTGGGCGTCGTGTAGAGGCTGTCCTTCCCGAATGTCTCAAACAGGTGGCCCAGCTTAAAGAAAGGAAAAAAAAAATCACGTATGGCCCGCGTCTAAGACATGTATGTGCTGCACTGGAATTGGAAAATAAAGGTGTTTGTATTCATTTATATCAAATGTACATTGCACGATATGACACTGACTCTGACGATGGGATTATCCTAATACAACTGATATATATTGAATTTTATGACCGTTGGACATGTTTACCGGAGATAATATAATGTTTCGGAAAGAATGTGTTCCGGAAGAGATCTTGACGCATTGATGCCAAGATGAGGCTGGGAACAGAAGCAGTTCTATGGATGACAATGTTTTTTTAAGTTCTATGGATAACTGTTTTTTATGTAAGTTCTATGGATGTCTTTTTTTTGGATGACAATGTTTTTTTTATTTTAAGTTCTATGGATGGCTTTTTTTTTTTTTTATCTTATCAAGTTCTATGGATGACAATGTTGTTTTTATTTAAGTTCTATGGATAAGTGTTTTTTTTTTTAAGTTCTATGGATGATATTTTTTAATTTATTTAAGTTCTATGGATGACATTTTTTTATGCGGTGAATAGGCAGAAGAGTAGGAATGAACATAAATGCTGTGATAATGTAGTTACAATGAGATGGAAATTTTATTTTATAAGCGCGAGTGTAGTTGTTTATACTGGGAGTGGTGGCTGGCACGATTTAGTATGTCGATTCCGTAAAAAAAAAAAAATGACCGTGGTATAAACAGTGATTTAAGTATGGTAATACTATAGTAGCAACATGATAAATGTGAAGGGGTGGATATATACGACATACCTGGTGGCAAGAGAATTAATTTCGGTATGAGATATGAACGTTACGAACCTACGATTAGTCACACTGGTTAGTAGGAACGGTCACTATGACTGAACTTTTAAGATTACTACGCGAATGTGAACCAAATAGTAAGAAAATGTATGAATGAGAATTGAATATCTTCACAATGCAAGGGATGTATATATGTATAAAGATTTCTCTTGTATGGGAAGATATTCATTCTCATTCATACTTTTGCTACATTTGTCAAGATGAATACGCTTCATATAGTAAGAATTAGTACGATAGTGATTTACGAGGCTAAAGTTGAGGTTGTGAAGTTATTAGGTTAGGTAAGGTAAGGTTAGGTTAGGTAAGGTTAGGTTAGGTAGGTAAGGTAAGGTTAGGGTTAGGTAGTAAGGTTAGGTTAGAGTTCGTGCTTACATGAGAGGGAGATCCAGACCAAGAAAATAATAGTGAAAAATAAATAAAACGCGACATATGAATTGATACCTCAAGAAAACCTAACTTTGAGAGAATCCAGACAAAGAAAATAATGCGGTGAAGGTAAAGAGAGAAATGAATAAACGAATAAATAAAATGAATATGAACTGATACTTCAAGAATATCTTAACTTTGATCGAGGCTTGAGTGCATACTGGACCGTTGGTGGAGCCTTTGACGGTTAGAACATGGGAGGAGGAGGAGGCAACAGGAGCACTCTGCTACCGGCATCAACAGCCTGCACGTCACTGTCAAGGTTGCTAGTGCGCTCGCCCCCCTCCCCCCCTCAATCCCCTTTGCTTCAACCCCCTCCTCTTTACTTCTACCTCTTTCTCTTCCTTCTCCTCTTTACTCTTTCTGTTTCCCCTCTTCTCCTTTCTTTCCCTGTCTTCCAGTACACCTACGCCCTTCCCTTCCCTCTCCCTTCTCCCCTCTCCTCTACCCCCCTCCCCCCTTCCCTCCCTCTCTTCTATCCTCTCCCCCTACCCTCCCTCTCTTCTACTACCTCCTCCCCTTCCCTCCCTCCCTCTCCTTCCCCCTTCCCTCCCTCTCTACCCCCTCCCCCTTCCCCACTCTCCTCTATCCCCCCTTCCCTCCCTCTCCTCTACCCTCCCCCCCTTCCCTACTCCCTCCCTTACCTCCCTCTCCCTACCACCTCCCCCCTTCCCTCCCTCTCCCCCCTCCCCCTACCCTCCCTCTCCTCTACCACCCCCCTTCCCTCCCTCCCTCCTCTATCCCTCTTCCCTCCTCTCCTCCCCTCCTCCCTCTCCTCTCCTCTCCCCTACCCCCCTCCTTCTACCTCCTCCCCCCCCTCCCTCTTCTCTACTTCCCTTCCCTCCCTCCCCCTCCCTCCTCTCCTCTCCCCCTCCCCTCCCTCCCTCTTCACTGGGTAACGCACCTCAAACTTTTACTCCCGTGGAATGTTAAATCTATCTCCCTCTGCCATCTCGATCACCCTTTGGCTGTACCGTTTTCCCTCGTGGGTGAAATGCTGTGCTACGGTGCTGTTTTCTCTCTCTCTCTCTCCTTGTACTGTATGCTGTTACTATGCTGTAGCTTAAGTAGGGGCGACCGGGTGTAGTTCTGACTATTTTTTGGGGGGTAGTTTGCGCTAGAACTTAAGATTTAAAAGTGAAATAAAACGGTTTTTGGTTCGAAAATCTGGAAATCTATTTTTTTTTTTTTTTTTGTTGTAAAAATTAATGTAATGCTTATATTCACGTAGTTCTTTAACAATTTGTGAAGGTATGTCAACTGTAACAATGTTCCCTAGGTACGGGTCAAGTTGTTACACATTCTGAAGTAAATTGGTGCTTTAATAAAATACACGATTTTGGTAACCTTATCAAATAAACACTCATTTTCAGTTTAATATAAAGCATCTTGAATCGATTCTTATTAAAAAGGCAAATGAAATTATATTTCTTCAGAGTTTACAACAAAGAAAATAATTTGTCATCCAACTCTCTCCATTTCTCTCACCTAAACATGCAACACGTGACAGGACTCCTAGTGACATCTAGTGAGTAGTTTTGTAGATAATGAGAGTGTAACAACTTGGACGTATAACAACTAAACCTGGTTTCCCTACACCATAGCAGCAACACAGCGCTACACCAACGCCACATAACTGCACTATAAATTCACAAACACAATGTCAAAAATAATAACCATTTTAATTCGGTCTAGGATAGTAATCTCTACCATATCCTTATAACGAATCTTCCTTTCAAAAGTTCATAACGTATATAGATCAGTTATTACATCGGTCTCAGAATTAATTCTAGTGGATGATTGAAATAGATCTTTACGACTGATTGTGTATTAATCGTATTATGACCTATTACTGTACGTGAAATTGTGCCGAAACAACGTATTTCTGTATATTCTTTTGTTGAAATTTCTAAGTACATCCTTATATTAGATTTGAATTTTATACAACTTAGGTTTATTTCTTCAAATCAACAAAAGAGGTGAATGTAGAACAAGGGATCCTTAGATAATACATAAAATAATTCGGTACTAAACCTTAGATATGTTGATGAAAACTGCCATAAGTTATAACATTACTTATGGATAAGAGTTTTCAAGTTATGTAATAATTTGTTGTGAATCGTTACGCACAAAGAACACGATAAATATGATTAATGAAACTTGTTTGTCGAATATGCACGTAACGAGGCAGTTTAAACCCGCAGATTAAATAACTGTAAGAGCTCAGTTAGGAGGGGGGTGGGAGGGGGAGGGGGAGGGTCAGCTACCTCGATCCAGTAGCTAGGTTATCAGATATTCCAGGCTTTGCTTGTGCCACTGATTGTCATTACGAGTGGAATTTACGACTCGTTTTAATATACGTGTATTCCTTATTAAGTGTAAGAGGTAGGGATATACAGTTAGGTTAGTTTCTGTTTGGAATGAACTGGATTAAATGTTTTGCATGCACGGTCCCTCATCCCATCGACCCACGAAACACTCCAGGTTATATTCCCCCCCTTCTCTTCGCACCACAATTTACCTTCTCGCGTGCCACAGCGTCCTCAGCAGAGCCTACCAAACGCAGCTTCAACCAGCACACTACCTCGCACAATTTTTTTTCGAGCACACTCCACACGCACATCACCCTCCTCCCCTCCCCTCCCCTCCCCTCCCCCTCCACACACACCCCGAGGCCACCTGCAGCCACATCCAACCTTGACACTCCTGCTCGACCTGTCCAGCCACTTCACAGCCCTCGAGTAATACTGAAAACATCTATTTACGGCACTGTTCAAAGGCTTGTTCGGGAGCGGATCTGAGCGAGTCCCTGGTACCTGATCCGAAAGGGCTCGGTGTTGCTTACATATTTATGAATGTGTAAGGACCAAAGCACGTATACTTATGGCGTTAGGGTATGTTTAAGTATATGAGAAATGTGGCTGGTGATCGCTATAACCACTTGAGGATCTTGGTTCGAAACGCTGTTGCCTACCACAGCCGTAACGGCCACGCGAGACACTCCGCTAACCTAATCGGAAATTTCCCTAATCAGTGTTGTCTAAATATTTTCGCCTATTGTACCCTTTATTACCTTCTTGTACTCTTACGTACATGGCTAAATAAACTGTTAAATAAACTGTTTTATTTACGATAATGCAAATGATATAATGATTATGAAAAGACTGCATTGCAGGAGTGTTGGTCAGTAAATTCGAATTTAATACACGAATAAAAAAGATGATTCATAGAACATGTGATGTTTCTCTCTCTCTCTCTCTCTCTCTTTCTGTGTGTGTGCGTGTATGTGTGTGGTGTGTGTGTGTGTGTGTGTGTGTGTGTGGTGTGTGTGTGTGTGTGTGCATGTTCCTTATTTGTTCACGTACCCTTATGATCTATATTGCGGACCCCAGTTTGGACAACACTGCCCTAGGCTAAGCTCTAGCATGGAAATACAAAGTGATGTAAAACACAACAAATACTTGAAAAATGGAATAGTTCTTTTTATTCACCGTAAGCTATCGTGGACAGTGCACCAGTACACCACATTTTAATTTATTCGTCACTCGTGTATTTTGTCCATGTACAGTCTAGACGGAGCCGAGCCTGGAGCAGGGGCAGAGAAGGGGCAGGCAGGGGTAGAGAGGGACAGGAGCAGAGAGGGGCAGGAGCAGAGAAGGGGCAGGAGCAGAGAAAGGACAGGAGCAGAGAAGGGACAGCAGAGAAGGGCAGGAGCAGAGAAGGGGCACAGGAGCAGAGAAGGAGGAGCAGAGAAAGGACAGGAGCAGAGAAGGGCAGGAGCAGAGAAAGGACAGGAGCAGAGAAGGGGCAGGAAGCAGAGAAAGGACAGGAGCAGAGAAGGCAGGAGCAGAGAAAGGACAGGAGCAGAGAAGGGCAGTAGAGCAGCAGGAGCAGAGAAGGGACAGGAGCAGAGCAGGAGCAGCAGCACAGGGCAGCGAGGGGCAGGGGCGAGGCGACGTGTCTGACGACCCCGGCGCCGATCATCAATTGAGCTTGGCATGCGCACGTTGGGCAGGACTCGACCACGCGCCCTTGCCCCTGCGCCGTGCCCCGTCGGTTGCATGTCCCGCTCGGGAGAGATCCTTCTGGTTATGGTCGAAGGAATACCATGTCCGAATTGGTACTCATGTTATCGTCATATATGAAAGAGAGAGAGGGAGAGGGGGAGGAGGAGATATAGAGGGAGGGGTAGAGGGAGAGAGAGGGGGAGAGGGAGGGAGGGAGGGAGAGGGAGCGAGAGAGAGAGAGAGAGAGAGAAAGAGAAAAAGAGACAGAAAGAGAAAGAAATAGACAGAGAGAACGAAAAAAAGAGAAAGAAACAGAAAAACAAACAGAAAGACAGATAGACAGAGAAAAAAATAAAAAATACAATAACCAAAAAAGAGAGAAGACGAAAAAAAATGAAAGTGGACGATCCTGTGCCTTGCGATGCGCGGAGGAACTGACAGGAGGTCGTGGTGTTTTGTTTTGAGAGTCGCCGCGTAAAGAGAGCGGGAGCGAGGTCTTTCGGAGGAGGTGGTCCGTCTCGAGCGAAGGGCGGTGTTGAAAGGAGGCCGGGAGTCGGGTATTGGAAACGTAATTCGTGATACGCACACACACGCACGCACGCACACGCACACGCACACACACACGCGCGGCGCACGCACGCACGCACGCACGCAGACGTCTATCTATCTTTATCTCTTATCCCCTTTCTCTCCCTCTCTCTCCTCTCCCTCTCTCTCCTCTCTCTCCCTCTCTCTCTCTCTCTCTCTCTCTCTCTCTCTCTCTCTCTTCTCTCTCTCTCTCTCTCTCTCTCTCTCTCTCTCCTCTCTCTCTCTCCTTCTCTCTCTCCTTCTCTTCTTACACACACGCACACATGCATATTTGCTTGGGTTCACGCACACATGTATGGATGTGTATGTATTTTTTCATGTATGTGTTTAGAAACGTTGTATGTAAAGTAATGTTAGAGTAATTTTAGGTATTCGTAGTGAAACCTATATTAGCTGAATGCCAGGTGTGTGTGTGTGTGTGTGTGTGTGTGTGTGTGTGATATATATATATATATATATATATATATATATATATATATATATATATATATATATATATATATATATATAATAGGTAGATAGATAGATATAGATATGCATATACATATATACTGCAAGTACATGTACATATACGCACATACACACACATACATTTATATATACATACACATACATACTTAAACATACATACATATATATTTATATATTGTGTATGTGTGTGCGTATATGTATGTGCGTGTGTATGTGTACATGTATGTGTATAAGTTTATATATATATGTGTATATGTGTGTGTGTGTGTGTGTGTGTTTACTTGTTTGTGTCTGCATGTGTATATATGTGTATAAGTATACATGAATATATATCATTTACTTGTGTGATTTAACTGCACTTTCAAGATAAAGACAACTATTTCTCATATCCTTGCTTTAGACTAAACTGCTCTCCCCTTAACCAACCGTGACACCATCAAATACACATCGAGAGACAAAAAATACATAACATCCAGAGGGAAAAAAAGAAAAAAGTAGTTTCTTTCTCGCTCCCTCAGTAGGGTACGGAGCCAGGGGTGAGAGAGAGCAACGGGTCCCGGATGTCGTGGAGGGTCGCCAGGGAGCTCGGAGGGACAGCGGTGGGAACTCACGGCGGGTTCCCGTGGGGGCGATGAGGGGGTAGGGGGTGATAAGGGGGGATGGGGGATGGGGGAGGGGTGGGACGGGGGGTGATAAGGGGGGTGGGGGAGATAATGGGGGTAGGGGGTGATAAGGGAGGGATGGGGAAGAGGGAGAGGGTGGGACAGGGAAGGGAGAGAGTTAGGGGGTGGGAAAGAGGGAGGGGGTGGGACAGGGGGAAGGGAGAGAGGGAGGGGTGGGACGGGGGGACGATGAGGAGGGATGGGGGAGATAAGGGTGGGGTGGGGAGATAATGGGGGTAGGTGTGATAAGGGAGGGAGGGAATGGGACAGGGAAGGGAGAGAGTTAGGGGGTGGGAGGAGGGGAACAGGGGAAGGGAGAGAGGGAGGGGGTGGACAGGGGAAGGGAGAGAGGGAGGGGTGGGACAGGGGAAGGGGGAGAGAGGGTGGGTGGGGGGGAAGGAGGGAGGGAGGGGTGGGAAGGAGGAAAGGAGGGAGGGAATGGGAAGGATGAGGAGAAGGGAGGGTATACGGAAGGGGGAAAGGGGAGGGAGGATGAAGAGGGATAAGAAGTTGGTAAAAGAGAATTGGGGGAAGAGAGACGAAGAGAGGGAGTGAGAAAGAGGGCAACGAAATGGAGGAAGGGAAAACAACGAAGGAAGAGAGAAGGCTGTCGTGGAGAACGGGGATAAAACAGAAAACGAGAGATAAAAAGAAAGAGAAAAAAGGAGAGAGAGACGTAGGGGGGGAGAGGTAAATGGGAGGAAAGAATGGAGAAAAATCAAGCAATGAGAGCCCTGAATCTCATAATAATGTCCAAAGAAGGGGAAATAAGGGAAGGAACAAGATAAAAAAGAGAAAGAGGAAGAGGAAAGACCGACGAATGAAGGACTGAAGACTACTGAAGACTAGTTATCAACGTAAAAGCAATTCAGAACCAATTGTTTACGCGCGGAAATTGCACTTGGGTACAACTGCTTGTTCCTCCTGTTAAGCGCCATAGACGTGATGCAACCGCGTGGGTGCGTTAGAATGCCCCCATTAGCATACATTAAGAGTAAATTAAGCACAAGTAATGCCCTTATTGTAATAATAATGATAAAAAACTTAGGTCTCAGGAGCGGCCATAAGTTTTTTTTTCCATGGTACATAGATTGGTTGTTAGAATTTATGGTCTTTTTTTTTCGTCCGCCTGCGCGTATTCGACATAAATCTTACTCGCTTCGACATGCGCGTGAAAAAGAATGTACCCTGCTCTATTTATCGGGAATTTGAAAGTGAAAGATTATCCAAGGCAGATTTCTATGAACTGAATAGGTTGTTTTATATATGTGTTTATTTCTCTCTGTCTGTCTGTCTCTGTCTGTCTGTCTGTCTGTCTCTGTCTCTCTCTCTCTCTCTCTCTCTCTCTCTCTCTCTCTCTTCCTCTCTCTGTCTCTGTCCTCTGTCTGTCTCTGTCTCTGTCTCTGTCTCTGTCCTCTCTCTCTCTCTCTCTCTCTCTCTCTCTCTCTCTCTCTCTCTCTCTCTCTCTCTCTCTCTCTCTCTCTCTCTCTCTCTCCGTCTCTCAAAATGTGTCCATAAAAATAACTAAAACGGATAATGTAGTATTCAACCGGAAACAGGAAATTTTTCGGTTCTCTTTATCGCATTTTTATGTAGCTTCATAAAAAAAAACCTAATTCAAAATAGGATAAAACACACGTGGTGCCAATTCGGTCGTAGCTACTTGTAATTCGTAATACAAAAAAAAGTCGTCTTTCTATCACAATTTTTCCAGCTTATCGTCTTTCTATAAAATTTTGCCAGCCAGTTCATCTCACTTCGTAGAAAAATTAAGACCCGTCACCTTCGTAACCAGCGCCGATAGAAGCCTTTTCCGGAGTCAGTCCACACCGCGCTACCAAAGTCCCCCAATCACGTGATTATGAGAAATATTAGTGGTAAATTTGTGTGACTGCCACCGCCTCACGCCCGTCTGCCACCGCCTGCCACCTCTCTCACGCCGGGTTCAAGGTCAGGCGAACAGGTGACGGGGCTGAGGTTGTTCCTGTGTCACCGCTGTTCCTCTCTCGGAGCGCTTCGGTCGCCGGGGTTCGAAGCTCCATTCGCGCTCGAGGTTGTGAAGTATGAGGAGGAGGAGTGGAATCGGAAAAGGGAAGGAGGGTGTGTTATGAGGTGTGGATTTGGTGTGGTATGAGGTGTGGACTTGGTGTGTTGAGAGAGGTAATGATTGGGTTTTGTTATGAGGTGTAGACTTTGGTGTGTTATGAGGTGTGGATTGTGTTGTGAGGTGTGGATTTGGTGTTGTTAGAGGTTGGATGTGTGTGGATTTGGTGTGTTGTGAGGGTGTGGATTTGGTGTGTTTTGAGTGTGGATTTGGTGCGGGTTATGGGTGTGGACTTCAAGGGTCAGGCGAACAGGTACGGGGGCTGAGGCTGTTCCTGTGTCACCGACGTTCCTCTCTCGGAGCGCTTCGGTCGCCGGGGTTCGAAGCTCCACTCGCGCTCGAGCTTGTGAGCTATGAGGAGGGGGAGCGGAATCGCGAGAGGAAGGAAGGTGTGTTATGAGGTGTTGGGCTTGGTGTGGTGGTATGAGGTGTGGATTTGGTGTGTTATGAGGTGTGGATTTTGGTGTGTTATGAGGTGTGGACTTGGTGTGTTATGAGGTGTGGATTTGGTGTGGATCTGGTGTGTTATATGGGTGTGTTATGAGGGGATTTGGTGTGTTATGAGGTGTGGATTTGGTGTGTTATGGATTTAGTGTATCATGAGGGATTTGTGTGTTATGAGGGGATTGGGTGTGTTATGCTTGGGACGGTATGGGGGATATATTGGCGTATTTGGTCTATGTTTTGATGTATTGATATTTAAGTTTAATGTTTTTGATTAGGGATATAGTTTACATACATACATAATACTTACATGAATACATACGTACCTAAATACACACAGTGAATGAGGTAGTGTGTATGTATGTATGTATGTTGGTATATATATATATTATATATATATATATATATATATGTATGTATGTGTGTATGTATGTATGTATGTGTATGCATGTATGTGTGTATGAATGTATGTATGCATGTATGCATGTGTGTATGTATGTATATTTTGTTGTATATTTATAAAACATCATGATTGATACAGCCTCGACAATTTTGAAAATAGAACAGTAGCCATTTGTAATTACAAATCCACAAGAAGTGGAAGGATTTTATATCTAGCGGATCATTTCCTCATGTCAGACGCGCCAAAGGTCAGATAAAAAAAGAAAAAAAAAAAAAAAAAAAAAAAA